TCTTTCATGGCAATTCTAACTTCTTGAGGACACTTGTCACATGCCTTCACACATCGAAAGCCACCGACAAGATGTTGCTTGTGACGGTATATGCCTCCAGTTGTTACTTTATCACAATAAATGCATCGAACACGAGTATAATCATTTTGTGAGACTTTCTCTCCATGCTGCCATGCCGGGTCCGTCGTTTTGGATTGCATTCCCGACATTTTCCTTTAGACGTACATGTTTCAAAAATGTATAATGTTTAAAACCAGGCAAGTTTGTTAAAAAAGCCAAATAATAAAACAGAGACTACTTTAAAATACAATAAGTAGCAATAAGTAGCAGCAGATGGAGAGAGCAGTTCAATCGCAGCGAAACAAAGAAGAAATACAGCAAAACAAAGAAGAAGATAGGCAGTAGCAGACCAGTCACCAGTGTGAAAAGCAGAGTAGCAGCGGATGGACTGATGGAGAGAGCAGGTCATGCGATGGCTTTGGCGATGGAGAGAGGAGGTCGTGCGATGGCTTTGGCGATGGAGAGAGGAGGTCGTGCGGATGGCTTTGGCGATGGAGAGAGGAGTAAGGAGTTCGTGCGACGCAGAGGGGAAAAGAAACGGGCAGTGTTCGTTAAACCTAATTCCGGAAAAACAAAAAAAATAAGATTTAAGCCATCTGGACAGTCATCTTCGCTTTTCGTGAGAAGCCCATAATAAGCGCGCTTTTTGCGCTTAAGCTCAGCGACGGAAAAGCGTCGGAAAGCTGCGCTTTCTCACGGAGCTGCGCATCGGAAAAGCCAGGCGCAAAGCATGCGCTCGCTTGCGCTTCAGCGCTTAAGCGTGCTTTTGGTCGCTTTTAATAAAGGAGTTAGGATGAAGGAGTGTGATAGGAACAAAACAACTTTCAGAACTCATGAGGGACATTATGAGTATCTGGTGATGCCTTTTGGGTTGACCAATGCTCCCTCTACTTTTCAGGCTCTAATGAATCAGGCCTTTTCTAAGAATGTTTGCCCTAGTATTTTTTGATGACATTCTGATCTATAGCAAGTCTATAGAAGAACATCAAGAGCATTTGAGAAGAGTATTATCTGCTTTAAAGGAAAATCAGTTGGTGATAGAATTAAGAAGTGTTCATTTGGACAATCCCAGTTGGTGTATTTGGGTCATGTAATATCTGGACATGGAGTGTCAGCTGATCCAACTAAGATTGAAGCTATGCTCAATTGGCCAGAACCTAAAGATTTGAAGGGATTGAGAGGTTTCCTTGGGCTGACATGGTATTACAGAAAATTTGTAAAAGGATATTAGATATAGCAAGATTGCTTTTCCTCTTACACAGCTTCTAAAAAAAGATAGTTTCTACTGGGATTTGAAAGCAGGTCAGGCTTTTGAAGAACTGAAAAGGATTATGACCACTCTATCAGTGCTAGCAACACCAGATTTCAACAAGATGTTTGTTGTTAAAACTGATGCATCTGGGACAGGCTGGGGAGCAGTCTTGATGCAAGAGGGGAGGCCAGTAGCTTACATGAGCAAGGAATTATCAGCAAGGAATCAAAATAGGCCAGTTTATGAAAGGGAACTTATGGAAATTGTCCTAGCAATTAAAATGTAGGCTCTATCTACTTGGCAGAAATTTTGAGGTCCATACGGATCAGAAAAGCCTGAAGTTCCTTACTGAACAAAGGCTAATGGGGGAGGAGCAGCAGAAATGGACATCCAAATTATTAGGCTGTAATTTTACAATAAAATATAAGCCTGATGTGGAGAATAAGGCTGCAGATGCTCTATCCAGAAGACAAGCTTTGCAGTCCTTATCAATTGTTAATTGCCAAGAATGGGAGGGTTTGGAGGAAGAGTTAAGCAAGGATCCTAAATGCCAAGAAATGATTCAGAAGGTGATTTCCTATCCAGTCAAAAATAAAGAATTTCAGATCATTAAGGCTTGTTATACTATATAAGAAGGCTGGTGCTACACAGGGATTCATCCAGAGTCTTGAAAATCTTGAAGGACTATCATGATTCTGCTTTGGGAGGACATTCTGGATACTTCAGAACTATGAAAAGGGTAGAAAATTTGTTCTACTGGCCTGGTATGAGGAAGGATATAAAAAAATATGTTGATGAGTGTGTCACTTGCCAAACCAACAAATATCAGGCCCTTAAACCCAATGGTTTACTACAACCATTACCTATTCCAAACAATATATGGACAAATATAAGTATGTATTTCATTGGAGGGTTGCCTAAGTCTCAAGGGAAGGATACTATTTTGGTAGTTGTTGACAGATTTACCAAATTTGCTCATTTCATGGCTTTATCTCACCCTTTTAATGCAAAAGAAGTGGCAGAAATATTCACTAAAGAAGTGGTCAAACTGCATTGTCTCCCTAAAACCATTGTTAGTGACAGGGACAATGGTTCTTTGAGTTCATTCTGGTCTGAACTCTTTAAGATGGCAGGAACTCAGCTCAAATATAGCACAACTTACCACCCCATACTGATGGGCAGACTGAGGTGGTCAACAGGTGCTTGGAGACTTACTTAAGGTGTTTAACAGGTGCTTAGGCTTTCTTCCTAAGCAGTGGCTACATTGGGCTGAATTTTGGTATAACACCAATTATCACATAGCCCTGAAACAAACACCATACAAGGCATTGTTTGGACAGGTGCAGTGATTAAAGGAGATGTGACACTAACTGCTGTGGAAGAAGTGTCCAGATTGACTGCTCAGAGGAATGCTATAAAGGAGTTAAAAGTAAACCTTGCTAAGGCTCAAAATCTTATGAAGCAGCAGGCTTACAAACATAGAAGGGATATACAGATGGAGGTGGGGGATCAGGTGTATCTAAAAATCCAACCTTACAAGCTCAAGAGTCCGGCTAAGAGAATAAATCAGAAGTTGAGTCCAAGATATTATGGACCATTTGAAATCATGGAGAAAATCAGCTCTGTAGCTTTCAAGCTTAAGCTGCCAGAAGATAGTAAAATACATCCTGTATTTCATGTCTCCTTGCTTAAGAAAGTGATCTCTCCAACTACCCATTTTCAACCTCTACCTAAATGCTTAAATGAAGAATTGGAGCTGCAGGTCATACCACCTGCCAAGTTTTAAAGACTCATGGGAACTTATGCAGATGATGAGAGAGCATTTCCTTCCGGGGGTATTGATAGGCATGGGATCATTTCCTTCCGGGGGTATTGATAGGCATGCGGGGGATCAGCCTATTAGAAGGTAGATAGCTAAATAAAGTAGGTTGTTATTTCAGTTGGCTGTAGACTTGGAGATTGGGCATCTCGAATTGTCCCTAGCACTGTATACCTACTTTGATTCCTCCCTACTCAATAAACACTTCTCGATCTGTTCTTGGTTTGATTTCTATAGAATTGCTATAATTCTACTTAGATTTCTACCAATGTTCTATCATGGAACTTCAGCAAGAGCATCATCAGCACTGTTAGACAATTCCTTACCCGAAGGTTGAATAGGATAATCGTCCTTATCAGGTTCCAGAACTGATGGTACAACCGCCATCAATTCAGTGGTCAGTGTGGGCGGTTGAGTTACAGGTGATCCATTTTCTGATTCAACTTGGTCCGTGGCTCTGGAAGTGGATGACTCCTGTAGCATTGATGAGGTTTGCGCCCTGTGTAAAGCTGCTTGTGAACCCTGCGAACTTGGAGGATATGATAACGTCGAAATCTGGGCCCTGTGAGAAGCTGAGCGCGACGCGGCAGATGAAACAGGTACATCTGCTAGCGCCTACGATTGCGAACAGTGGAGAGCTGTTGGCGACGGCTGCGAACTGAGGTAAACTGTTGGCGACAATTCCTGTGGACTGAGAATTGGCTCGATGTGAAGCTGATTGCAACGGCGATGAAAATCGGCCAGGAGAAACAGTTCTCAACGAACTGGGAGATGACGCGGTTCGCGACTGCGAACTGGGTGAAGCTTTTTGCGATTGCACATAGGAGCTTCGACTTGCGACAAGTTTTTCGTACTGGGAGAAAATGTACGTGACGGAGCAGGATGCGGAGCTTGCGAACCAAGGGAAATCTGCGTTTGTGAAGCTGATTGCGACAACGACGATACCTGATTTTCAGTTGGCCTACGGCGTCTAATTCTCCGACTAGGCTGTTTACGCAGATGATTTATCATCTCGTCCAGCATCGTTTCCATCTTCATGACATGGCGTTCGACACTTCCTGTGTTATACTCCATCTGCGCATGAGTAACAGTCCTCTATTCCAGCGATCGTTGATGCTCTAATACCAATGTTAGGTACCTCAACAAAGCAACAGAAATTTAGTGTTCAATTGATAAAATCTGAGGAACCGATCCTCCCAGTACAATGGCGCATAACAGTAAACCCACCTACAGTAGTGGAAAACAGAAAATAGAAGAGAAGAAAGGTTTGAGACAGTTTGAGTCGTGTCGCCTTTCTGCTCTTAATATACTCATCTCCTAAATGGGCTAGCCCATATTTTATGACATGGCCCAAAATTTTTATTTATACAATACCACACTTATTTAATATCAATCTATACTACTATTATTATTCTCTACAGCCCGGGGCCCTATCATTTGGGAAGTTGATGAGTTGGTTCACCTACCTGTCTAGCTTTTACTTTACATAGGGAGTGACTTCGATTCCCTGATATAAAGGGGATATTGGATTTTCTGTCTGATGTTGAATGTTTTCTGTGGCTCCATTGATTATTTGAGTGTTCATCTCTTTCTGCTTGAACTGCTTGAACTTTTTGATCTCATATCTTACCCTACTGAGGCTGTTTAACATGCTTCCTCCATCACCAACATAAACGACTTCTATGCCCTATTCTCCCTGTTTTTCTTCAACCTGTATTACACTATTACTGAAGATTTAATTTAATGATTAATATATATATATATATATATATATATATATATATATATATAACCACACACTTTTATTTCCTTTTACCTGTTTTTCTTCTACCGTATTACTAATTATTTAATATGTATATATTTTTTGAGTTGTAGGGATATGCGCTCTTATGCGTGGGTTTTCCGTCAACCGACCTTGAAGTTGAAACACAGGATGAAGATGAGGTATCCAATTCTCAAAGACTCAAACTAATTTCTTGTGTTTAGGCCATTAAAATTTATTTGGTTAATTCACAAGGGTGGGGGATACATCACCACTTGGAATTTGTTATTGTTGTAGCAAGTGGAATAATGTTTTCAACTGAAAATATTATGAAAGCAATTGTTGATATTATTTATGTACAATTTACGTACACATGCATGCAGTGATATTGATTATTTAATATTATTTATCTCTTGTACCAAAGGATATGTATCAATTTTAACTACTAGCTAGCGTATAGGAGTAAATTACTCAAGCTGGCATCTAACTTAGTGCGCAGCTGTAGGACTTCAAATGTATTTATTTTCCTTTTCGTTCAATTGTGAATACAACGTGAATTACTATTCCATGATCCAAAATTCAATTTGGTATCAGAGCAGCTAACGATCCATGTTTAATCTCCGACCGACTTCACCAAACATGGTGAACAATACCCACGACACGAACTCCGACCGAATCACAACGAACGCCATGCAGGCGATTGAAATTGAAAAAGGGAATTATGATATGACGTCGACTCCAGGAGATAGTGTTGCACGAGCACCCAATTTCACCGGTGACCAATGGAAGAAGCTTATCCGACTAATGGAACAGTGTAAGGAATCATCTTTACACGATAAAATCTCAGGTATGAACACTAGTAATGTTACTTGGCTATTAGACTCCGGTGCATCTTTTCATATGACCGGAGAGGAAAGCTTGTTGATGAACACACAGAAAGTTTCGCCGCTGCCTGTTTATTTACCAAATGGAGATGTTACATATGCTACGAGCAAAGGGGAGGTGCAGTTGAGCCAGGGGATTACACTTACAAATGTGTTATTGGTTTCTGGATTAACATGCAATTTAATCTCATTGGCACAATTGATTGATGACCTGAAATGTGGTATATTTTTTACTAATGATATATGTGTGATACAGGACCTACATTCGAGGAAGCCGATTGGAGCGGGTGAGAAACGTGGAGGAGTATACTATTTTCATAGTTTGGATTTGGTACGTGAATGCTCAATAAAGAAGGAGGACAACAGTGACTTGTGGCACTCCCGGTTAGGACATCCATCAGACAAAGTTTTACGTTCTATTATTTCTTTTAATGACTCTGCGTTGGACACTGGTTTGAATAAAAATTGTGACACATGTTTGCGTGGGAAAAAGACTCGTGACGCTTTTCATATTAGTGATTCCAGAGCATTTGAAATATTTGATCTAATTCATTGCGATGTGTGGGGTCCTTATCGTTTTCCTGCGTCATGTGGTGCTAGATATTTTCTTACCCTAGTTGATGATCATTCTCGTGCTGTATGGACTTTCTTAATGAAGGAAAAAAGTGAAGTATCTCGGATACTTAAACAATTTATTGTCATGGTGGACCGACAGTTTAACAAAAGAGTGAAAATTGTTAGGAGTGACAACGGGACAGAATTTCTAAGTTTGAAATCTTATTTTTTGGATACTGGAATCCTTTTTCAAACAACTTGTGTGTACACTCCACAACAGAACGGGAGAGTTGAACGTAAACACAGACACATTTTGAATATTGCTCGTACTCTTCGTTTTCATGCAAATTTACCTATTGGTTTTTGGGGTGAATGTGTATTGACCGCATGTTATCTCATTAATCGGTTGCCTCCCTCTGTTTTGGATTACAAGAGTCCTTATGATTTGTTGTATAAAAAGACATCCAAATATGATCATCTTCGTGTATTTGGTTCTCTTTGTTATGCACATTCTCATGGTCCAAATAGAGACAAATTTGCTTCACGAGGAATAAAGTGTGTTTTTTTGGGATATGCCTATTCTCAAAAGGGGTGGAGATTGTACGATCTTGAAGGACAACGTTACTTTGTTTCACGTGACGTTACTTTTATTGAGACGCAATTTCCTTATGCCAACACGGGTAATGGCAAAATTTCACGGCCAGCTATGGAATGTGGGACTTCCATGCATAATGAGACAAATTATTTTCCTCCTTTTGGTGAGGATGTTACGAGTGATCCTAATTACATGGTGGGCTCCCATGACTCTGGCACTTCACAAATGGCCATGATCAGTGATATGACATCACCAAATTTACACCTTAAAGGTGTTGATATGCACGTGGAATCAGGTGGTGCAACCTCAGGTGAGTCATCATCCTTAAATTCCCAGGAGGCTGGGTCAACTACCACGGCAAACTCTCCAAACCGAAATACTACACCCCTACGCAGGGGCACTCGACTCAAACAACAACCAGTATGGCATAAAGATTACGAAGTGCAGCTCAATACTATGAAAATAGATACTCCACCCGTGTGTCACTCCTCTCCACCGGTTGACTCAGGTAATCCGTATCCCTTATCTCATTATGTAAATTATAATCGCTTTTCCGTACACCATCGTGCCTTTCTTGCAGCTATTTCAACGACAAAGGAGCCCAACCTGTTCTGTGAGGCAGTGCGTGACCCCAATTGGCGTGCCGCCATGCAAAAGGAAATTGATGCATTGGAGCGTACCAGAACATGGGAGCTGCGGGATCTCCCTCCTGGTAAGAAACCTATTTTTTGGAAATTGGTTTATAAAATTAAATACAAAAGTGATGGCAGCATTGACCGTTACAAAGCTCGTCTCGTCGTATGCGGCAATCGGCAAGTTGAGGGGATTGATTATGATGAAACATTTGCCCCTGTTGCCAAGATGGTCACAGTACGTACTCTTTTAGCTATTGCTGGGTCACGCGGTTGGGAGATACATCAAATGAACGTAGACAATGCTTTCCTACATGGTGATCTTCAGGAAGAGGTATACATGCATTTGCCCCCCGACTATTCATCCTCTAAACTTGGGCAGTTGTGCAAATTATTGCGCTCTCTTTATGGTTTGAGACAGGCACCACGTTGTTGGTTCTCCAAGTTGACTGATGCGCTCCTTAATTATGGATTCTCTCAGTCTCATGCTGATTATTCCTTATTCACTCTTCATCGTGGAAGTCACATGTTATGTATTCTGGTATATGTGGATGATCTACTTATCACTGGTACTAGTCATGAAATGATTTCTACTTTCAAAATTTATTTGGGGGATAAGGCTCAAATTGGACACTATGATTTTATGAGAATCTCATATTGGACACTAATGTTTTAAAAAGATCAAATTGGACACTATGATTACATATCTATCTCATATTAGACACTGAAATTTCATAATTCATAGTTTTTGGACACTCACTTATGGTTAGGCTTACATTTTCTTTCCTTTTTGATGAAAGTAAACCAATTTAATTACGTATATAATTTTGGAATATTTAATTTGAAGTTTTAGAATATATAATTTAATTTTAATTAATAATTTCTTATATTTAACAATTTAAAAATATATTTAGGATTTTTCATTCATATGATTTTTATGGAACTTTAAGAAATATCGATTTGTTAAATTGATTTAAAAATATTAAAGAATTCAATTGTATTATAATAGATTTTCTTAATTGGAGCATCTAATTATATATTCTAAATCTAAATACACAAATTAAGTTATTTTTATTTTTTAGGTACATAAAATCAAGAGAAAAAGGAATACTTATATCTTTCTAGGCGAAAATCATTGATGGATGTCCGAAAATGATCATAAAAACGTAAAATTTGATCAATTCGAAACTGTAGTGTCCGATATGAGACACATAAGTAACCATAGTGTCCAATTTGGTCCATTTGAAACATTAGTGTCCAATATGAGATTCCCATAAAATCATAGTGTCTGATTTGACCTTTATCCCTTTATTTGGCTGGGAAATTTCCCGTCAAGGACTTGGGTTCTGTGAAATACTTTCTTGGCTTGGAGGTAGCACGCAGTCCGCATGGTATGTTTGTATGACAACGGAAATATATTCACTAAATTCCATTATCTTCTTGCCAAGATGGGCATTCAAGAGATAAATAATATTAAATAATCAATATCACTGCATACATGTTGGTATGTGAATTCGTTGCAGGCATGTTAGGAGCAGACATATGATTAACAGTTTGAGACCTTAATTACTCATTTTGCTTACATTAAATTAATTAGTTTTAATATAATTATTAGTGGGCCGTTGCAGATAGTCTTAGCAGTGTTGTAAAACAAGGAAGTAATGGGTGCGGTGGCACATATCCTCCATTCGCTGTAGTGGAAATTATTTCCTATTTCTTTTCCCATTTTCTAGCTAAATTCCATGCATGAATTACCTGAACAAAGGCTACAGAAGAATCTTGAATGAACGAGAGTACTTCTGCCCAGCTTCTCTTTCTCTCCAAGCTATCTCTTCATCTGCAATTTATAGTGCTCTCCAAACGTCTCTTTCTCTAAAAGCCATCTATCTATTCCTTTGGCAATTTATAGTAATCAATTCCTAGGTTTTTTTGGGTGGGGGTCATGTGACAGATATAAAATGACAAGAGATTTACCTTAATAGGACTAAAACATACTTAGTTTTTTTTTTTAAATAGGACCAACTAGTTTAAAATACCTTAAATAGGGCTTTTTATCTGTGATTGGACAAAAATACCCGCATAAGTCTTGAGCACGGTTGCCCCCAGGTCGCCGCCTGCCGCCAAAACAGCGGTCGCCACCGCTGCCAGATTTTTTTTTCTAGAAATTCTCCGGTGATCTGCCAAAAATTCCGCCATCTCCGTTGCTGTCTTCCGCCGCCGCTGCCGGAGATCTGCGCCGCTGCTGGAATCTGCTACCGCCACCACGGACTGATCCCGCCACAGGGGGCAATTAATGAGGTTAATTATTTAATTAATTAGGGGTAGAAATGGAATGATTAGTCCTATTTAAGGAAAACCAAACATATGGTCATATTTTTGGAAGAATGCTATGTTTTGGTCTCACCAATAGCTATTTTCTCTAAAATGATTGATTGGCCATCTAGCTGATCACATAAGCCTGTAGTCAATGTTCTAAAAAGCGTAAGGCGTGGCGAGGCGGCACAATGTAGCTTCAAGCCTAAGAAGCCTAGGCGAGTTTAAGTGAAGCTTAAGGCTTAAGCGCGAAAAGATGTTTTATTTTTTACTTCTTATTGTACTCTTACCAGAGCTATTAATATGTGTTTAAATGTAATACGATAGTATTAGGTAGTATAATACGTACAACTACATCAAAATTTTATATTTTCCAAAAAATAGACTTCTATAAGTTTTAAACCTACACTACTGCATATAGTAAATTTACCTATTTGTTAAAAAACAAAATTGAGAAAAATAGTTGATCAAATGATAAAATAATAATAATAACACCAAAAATAGTAATATACAGTAATACCGAGTAATAATAAAAACAATAATGATAGTGATTATAATATGTGTTGCTTAACCTTTCAAAACAAATAATATGCGTTGCTTAATAATGTTGTAGAGTATTTTTCTTTATAAAATTCAACCAAGTCAAGCATGCATAAGTATACTTCAATATATGAGTATAAGACTTAGGCTCCAAAACTTCTGGCTTGAATCTTTTATTCAATTTTCATTTTTCCCTTTCACTAGTTGTTCCACACCAAAAAGGAGAGACTTTGCTTCTGACTAGCATTATATAATTTCATCTAATGTTGCGAAGCATAGGTACAAAATTTGTTGGCTGGGCGATCCGGGTTAAGCTTAGGCAAAGTCAACTATGTCTATTACATTGTTAACAAATACCGTGTATTAGTTGAATTAGTTAATTAAAATGCTTTTTTTGCACGCATTCCCTTAGGCGGGGCGTTTTGATGGCACCTCCAGCCTTTTAGAAAACAGCCTGCAGTTGATATGGAATGCTTCATTTAATAATGGTCTCATGTTTTATTCCATTTTCTAGTTTCTTGTCGTGTTTTTTTTTTTCCTTCCAATTTCGGAGATATGAGATAATGAGACCTGTACAGGTATATTTGCTCCAATTCGGAAGATATTTTGCCCGAGGACCTATTGTAAGTAATAATTCAGGATCTTTGAAAAAACATTACTGTTTTTTTTCTCAAAGTTCAGGAAAAGGGAATTACTTGTACTTTTTTATCTAAAATATTTATGGTACCTTTTAGGTAAGGGATGATTACGCTTTGGAGTTAGCAATGGGAGATGATTAAACTCCGGGTACTTGATTTCAGGAGATGATACGGAGTCCAAGAAATGCATGTACTTTCATTTTTGTAGGTATACATTTTAACCCGCATCTACACATTCTCTTTTGATGGTTTGTTGATCTATGTGGTATTGTGGTGCGACTGGCTGGCAAAGAACCATGAGGATGTAAACCAGCATATGTGATGAATCATAATTGACCGGTTCAACCAAGCAGATAAATAGGCAGAAGTTGAAATTTGTCCTCTTGATTTATTGAATGGCGCAAAGGAAGCTTGGATGAAGGGGCTTGCCAGCTCTTCAAGCTAGTCCATATAGTGGGATTGGAGTTTATAGGGAAAATCGCATATATGGTCCCTCCGTCATCCACGAAATTAAAATCTTAGACCTGTATTTTTTGAGATTGTAAACGTCACCCTCAATTGTCCAAATTGTTGTAAATGTGGTACTTTAAGTGGTGAAATATACTCTCGCTCACATTGTATATTTCACCCCTCAAAAGGACCACATTTATAGCATTTTGGACAATTGAGGGGTGACATTTAATATCTCAGAAATACAGGTCTGAGATTTTAATTTCGTGGATAACTGAGGGACCATATATGCGATTTTCCCGAGTTTATATTTTTCACCTGTGCACCTTGAATGGTTTTATCCTTTTTTTAGAAGCCGTGCATGTATTTCCAATCGAAAAATTCTAAAGGTACACACTTTTTTGTGTACACACTTTTTACACGTCTGTGTAAGGTTTTTTTTATGTCTGTACAGACATAACATATTTTAAAAATACGTTATGTTTTTACAGACTTATTTTTTTTTTACACACATGTGTAAAAAGTGTGTACACAAAAAGTGTGTACCCCAAATCCAACTCTTTCCAATCAAGTAACCTGGTCAAGTAGTCCTTGTGATACAAATTCCTTTATTTGTATTTACTAGTATATTTTAATCAATTAAAATAAAATATACACTCGGTAGCATAATTAATATGGCAGTACATTGACATTTGACAGTAGCAAATTACCCATACACATCATACATTAACCATCCTAATTTCTAAAAATAAAAAACAAAAGCAATTAATCAGGCCATATGACAGTAGCAAGTTATACTTCGGATATAAACTAAAAGTATTGGGTTTAAGGCTTTAAACTTTAAGCTTTAAACTAAAAGTATCAGGGCTAGGGCCTAGGGATGGATCCGGTTCCGGTCCTGGACCGGCTGGATCCGGGTTTATACAGATCCGGTTCCGGTCCGGTCCAGTCTACCCGTCCGGTCCCGATCCGGTCCCGGTTCGGTCCCAGTTCGGTCCGGTCTTTAATTTTTTTGTTATTGGAGAGTAAATAAATGATGTATATTTATTTTAAACATTACATTGTCACTTGTATCAATATCACATTTGACAATTACAATTGAAAATACTTTAAAGTTGAAAATTACAATACATGAACTCATCGTCAGAGCCGCTTCCGGCGTCAGTTGTCGTTTCCTCCATGAAATGGCGGTCTGGTGCTATGTTGACTTCTTGTGTTCTATGACGGGCTCTCAACCAATCATGGAAGCAAACGAGTGTTTCGAGTAGGCATGGACTCGGGCTGGGTCGGGCTCGGGCTCGGGCCAGGCCTAGGCCCGGTCGGGCCGCCGATTTGTATCACATGGACCCGGGATCAGCCCGAGGGTTGGACCGGTCCAGTTTCGACCGGGCCACCCGCCTGGGTCACGGGTTGGGCCACCCGCCGGCCCGGGCCGTTTAAAGTAATTTTTTTTATAATTTATATTTTATACTTTATAGTTTTATACAAGTATTAAAAACAAACTTCAAGTGCATTTATTTGAAATGATATAGGAACTACACTTTAAAATTAAAACAAACTTCAAGAGACACATTTTATAAATTGTAATCAATCGGAATTTCCCGCACCTTCCCATCCTTTGGTTTTGTCACATGACTTAATATGCTTCATTGCCATCCCGTATCCGCCTGAAATCCCCATGCTACATTTTTTCCCGCACCATTTGCAAGTTGCGTATCACATCCTGGTCTTCGGGTCCTTCTGCTTATCAAAATTATACCGTATAACGGCATCTTGACTTTCCATCTTAAAAATTGTAGATATAATAATCCCACAATAGATGGAGATGAAGATGGAGATTGGAGAATGTAGATTAGAGATTGGAGAAGATGTGTATAAAAATGTTAGAAAATAAGAGTATTTATAGAATTTTTTGTACCTCCACCCCCACCCCCAACGGCTCTATGCCTCTATTGATTCAAATTTCAATAGAGCCGTTTGGGGCTTTTGAATTTTGATTAATTTTATTTTGTATGTTTTATTTTGAATAAATTACATAATGTAAAATTAATTAATTTTATGAATTCAAAAATAAATGCTACATATAAAAAAATGAATGTATATTTATTTGAAATATGAACTACAAGTTTACAAGTTACAATTGAGAATTGAAGGTAAAATTAAAACAGGGAAAACTGTCAATTGCGCCCTCCTACTATGCGCGATCCGTTAATGGAGTCCTCGTACTTTGGAAACCTTCAATTGAACCCGCCAACAATGAAAATCCTGTCAATTAGGTCTACATAACCGGATGCTTCCCGGTTAGCCCGTTGCTCGCTCACGTGGACATCGTACATTGAGGGTTCTGTTGCTGACATGGATTAAAAATTTCCACATCAGTTTTCCCTTTCCTTTTTCAATTTTCTTTTCTCTCTTCCTACTTTCTCTTTTTTTCTCTCTTTCTTCTTTCCTCCTGATCCGCTACTCTTCACCTTTAATTTCCCAGTCCGCAGCTCCCCCTCCCCCTTGTTCGTTTCTTTCTTTCGATGCTTTTAATTTTTATTTCCCTTTTCTATTTCTCCTGTGCATCTGCAACTCCATCTCCTCACTTCCCTCCTGCACAGACTACAGATCTATGGTGGAGGTGGTGGTGGTAGCTATGGAGGCTGGGGTGGTTGGAGGTCGTTCCAACTTCCAATAGAAAAGATGAAGGTGGAGACCATGGAGGTGGAAGTCAGATCGAGGCGGTTGGTATGGTGGTAAGGGCGGCGGAGGTGGTTGCTACGGAAGTCGGCGCGGCTGGAGTTCGTTTCAATGGAGGAGACGAAGGGACGGAGGTGGTGGTCGGAGGACGTTTGTATGGCGGAAGGGGTGGTTGAGGTGAAGGTAGAGGCCGGACTCCGGAGGCGGCGGCTATGGAAGCTGGCCGGCAGAGGTAATGGCTAGAGAGGCTGGTAGCTATGACTACATCACGGCAGAGCCCAAGTGATGTGGAAATTTTTAATCCGTGTCAGCAACGGAACCCTCAATGTACGATGTCCACGTGAGCGAGCAACGGGCTAACCGGGAAGCATCCGGTTATGTAGACCTAATTGACAGGATTTTCATTGTTGGCGGGTTCAATTGAAGGTTTCCAAAGTACGGGGACTCCATTGACGGATCACGCATAGTAGGAGGGCGCAATTGACAGTTTTTCCAATTCAAACATGAAATACTAATCAATCATTCAATCGGAATCTCCGGCATAGGTAGAGCCACCTTCGGTTGTAGATTCATCCATAAAGTGTTGGGATGAGGTGATGTCAATTTCTTGAGCTCTACGGGCCGCTTTCAACCAATCGTGGTAGCATATGAGCATCTCAAGAGATTTTGCGCTCAACCTCGTTCTACATTGCGTTAGGACATTGCCGGCCGAACTAAAATCTTGTTCCACGGCAACTGTTGAAACCGGCATTGATAGCACTTGCTTAGCCATCTTTGCTAAAACCGGGAACATTCTTTCTTTTCCCTTCCACCAGTTTAGTACGTCAAAATCATCATCTTCTTCAGAATCAACATCATATGTTAAATACAAAGAAATCTCATTAATTGTGCTTTGTTGCGTAGCGAGAGTTGACTTCGTTTTTTAATAAGATTGACAAATGTAGATTTGAAAATTGATTTTCCTTTAGATGATGTTTGTGTCGGGGGAGGGGGCGCATTGCCATATTGTGCATGAAACTCATTAAATAATGCATAAAATATATCACTAACCTCGCTGTATTCTTTTTTCGAATCAATTGGGTTGTCCTCATACATTGACAATGGACAAAAAAAAACAGCATAATAATAATTCAAACATTCTTCTAAAGAACCAAGTCTAAAACGAGGATCGAGAACAAATGCAATACCATAAATATGCGGAATATGTGAATAATATTTTAAAAACTTTTCTTTCATAAAACTAGCAAAATAACTCACATAATCAGCATTCTCAAAATTTGAAAAAGCACCGACGAGATTAACAGCTTCACGAATAAATTGGTTTGAGCTAGATTTATAAACATGACTAAAAGTTTCAGTTGCATTATTAAAATATATCAAAGCATTATATTTTTTTCACAGGTGTCGATCTCAGCCGAGTTTATAATATAGTTATCATATTATTTCATAAAAGCAGGAAAATGTTTTTTATATCTAAGAAGAATTCCAATTAACTTATAGGTACTATTCCAACGAATAGACAAATCTTTAGGAAAAGCCACATATTTCTCACCTCTTTCTATCAAATAATCATGTCATTTTTTCCTAAGTTGTCCATTACCCCAAATACGTCTAATTCCCCCTTGACTACCTCCAACGATGCTCCCAACGCTTTTAGATCATCTTGCACACATAAATTTAGAACATGACATGCACATCATTGATGAAAAAATCTACCCATCAAAGAAGTAGAATCACACAATTCACGCAATCTATGAATATCAACAGTATTATTAGTAACATTATCAAAACCAATAGCAAACACTTTATCAATTAAATTATACTCAATTAAAATACGCTCAATCAAAATATAAATATGTTCAGCGGTGTGACGATCATTAAATTCACGGAAAGCAAGAACACATTTATGCATATGCCAATCATTATCAATATAATGTACAGTCAGACCCAAATAATGTAAATTATGATAAGTATCCTCCCATATGTCAGAACATACAGTAACACGCTCATCAAAGTTTGCAAAATAATTTTGTAACCTTACCTTTTCCGCACCATAAAGCCTTGAAATTTCTTTCTTAACCGTTTTGCGACTATAACCTCTATATTGCGGATTTAAACAAGTTTGTGCATAATCACGAAAAGCAAGACTTTCAGAAAACAAATAAGGCAAATTTTCTTCAACAAGTAAGTTAGCCATACCAGTCAAATTTTGTGCATCATTGTATGAGAAATTACCAAAAGCTTGTTGGTTATTTGCAAACCTCGAGATATTTGAGTTTGCTTCCCCGTTCCGCCGCCTAATTTTGCATACTCCACCGGGTGTTTGGACTTAAGATGTCTTGTGGCGGATCCGTATCCGCCGGAAATCCTCAAGCTATAGTTTTTCTTGCACCATGATGAGAGTTTTTCTCGCACTTAAAAAGATTGTAGAAAAGCGGTGAAAGTACGAGTATCGTCTCCACAAAGATGGTAAAAGGGAATTAAGGACTAACTAAAATCAGCGATAAAGAATAAATAAAATAAATGCGATCGTGCGAGTTTTGATTGATTAAGAAAATTAAAATTGCAAATAAACGAATAAAAGTAAATATTTGGGTTCTTCTTAATTAACGACGAAAGGAACAGGGATTGATTCCGGGGTAATCAGATTTCTGGCAGACCAAGCTTAATTACATGAATTTAATTTAATTGAGCCTAGCTAATCAATACTAAGTTCTTACCGCTCTCGCGGCGTAGAGTACAATAATTTAGGGGACCAGGCTGATCTCTCATGCGACAGGATCCAAAATTATTGCCAAAGCGAACGAATTTACGCCCCCTTAATCGCTACTAATCTCTTAGCGAACGATTAAGTGTGTGTGAATGTGTCATAGAATAAATTAGATCTCTCTTAATTTATCCTACATGCGATTGTAATTCTAGTGGCCATCTAGGTTACAAAAGATAAACAATTAAATTACTCAAACACAAATTAAACGACATTCATGCAATTTACACCAT